AAACAGGATGAGAACGCCATTCAGGTCTCCCAAAGAAGAATAGAAAGAGCTATGCTTGGAATATCACGTTTCACTCAAATGAGAGAAAGAATCCGGAGTTCTGACATCCGTCGATGATCAAGAATCAGGGACGCTGTCTCATTTGCCAAGGTGTCAAAAATCAGATGGGCTGGTCACGTAATGAGATTTAAAGACGACTGTGGACTAGAGCTGTTACCGACTGGATTCCACGGGATGTCAAAAGACTGTGTGGCCGCCCACCTACCAGATGGTCAGACTTCTTCGTCAAGATCATGAACGATCGGTTTGAGGCTCTTCATGTTCCCAGAGCGAATAGATGCCATTGGGCTACACTAGCACGCGACAGGGACAAATGGAGACGTTACTGGCGCCCGCTCGAGCAAATCGACAACTAATGGGAAGTTAAGTGATTAAGTGAATAGAAGACATGCGATAAGAAAAATTAAAATCAAGAGTTAGCTCCTGGGTCACTCTAATAAAACTGGTAGTTTTATTCAGTGGAGATAACGGAGATAGTGAGGCCATAACAGGCTTCACTGTAAGACTTTAAGGCTGAAACTCAAGTAGGCCTAAATTTCGGTTTTTTCCCCTCCCTTCCGCCCCCTCCTCCCGAAAGTCCCAACTCCTCAGAAAATAATATCACCTTGGGCAGATTAGCCTACTCTTGGCAACAGCCCACCCAAATAGAGGGCGTGGGCAGTGGTGGTAAGCCAAGTGGAGGCCACCGATAAGGGTGGAACAGTCATAGGACAGTTGGGGGGGGGCATATCCAGAATTGGAAAAGTGCTGTTAGTTCCTGGAAATTTGCCGTTGTGTAACATAACCCTATAAAAGCTACTTAGAATGGAATGTTTAATAGAAGAGAAGACATGCGATAAGGAAAGTTAAAATCAAGAGTTAGTCAGGGTCCTGATCAAGATTCTGCTGCATTGGATGAGACTTGGACCCTTGCTCGAGCTAGCAATAAAAAGTGCCTTGCACTTGTATCCTCGAGTCTGGGTTGGTCATTGTGTGAATGAAACTCCCATCCCGGGACATAACAAGATAAAAAGAATGAACACATAAATGATCACCAAACACCAATACAAGAACTCAAGGGAGATTTCAGTATAGCACTTATGTGCATTAAAGTAATAATATTTGCAATACAGATACTGAAAGGTTATCACATATATTCCTTTACCTACTTTTTTTTTCAAATGTAGGAGTCCTGCTATTTATTCAGCCATTAATAAAGCTGACTGAAGTGGGCATAATCTCCATATTCCTTAAAAAAATTTTTTTTATTGAATATCTGTGAGATAGATCATTACAAAGCTGCCCATGATTGGTTTCAGTTATATAATGATCCAACACCCATCCCTCCACCAGTGCAAACTTCCCACCACCAACGTCCCCCATTTTCCTCCCACCATCCCCCAAAACCCCACCCCTACCCCTACCCCCAGCCTCCCTCTATTTCTATGCATCATGGCTGCATCAAGGTGCTAAGAGGTCATGGTGTTTGCTCAGGGCATTCAGTATTTTTATTGGGATGGTAAGGCTGGAGTAGCTTTTCAACTGGGTGGCAGCTTTGGGGTGTGGGCTTGACTGCTGAGGCTTCTGGAAGTACAGGGAGGTGGAAGAATAGCTCATCCTGACCCCAAGAAAGCCTGGAGATTTCAGTCACAAAACCTGCATATCCAAATTTTCAACAGATTAGTATCTCAGTGAGGCCCGTCCTGAAATGCTGGAGTCAGGCCGGGGACATGGCGGCAATTTTGGATTGTGGGAGCAAGTGGCTGCTTGGGGCTTTGCTTGGGTGGGTACCAGGCTAACCCACCCCCCTCAAATTTACCCCAGTCTGCTTAGCCTTGCACGGGTTGGATATTAACTGTGGCTTTTGATCTTTTTTGAGATTTATTTAAGGGTCTCTGAAGCAAGGCCGATAAATGAGCTTGTACAGCTGAGCTGGAGGTGGTTTGTGGGTGTGACTCCATATACCTAATTTTTGGCCATTTAATTTCTGGGAAACTTGGTCCCAAGTTGTTTGGGTCCTGCCAGAAGCACAGCGGCAATTCTGGGGTGGGTGTTGGGAAGCCTGAAGGCACCATCAGGCTGCTGATGCACTGGCCCTGCAGGTCCAGGCTGACCCCCTGGGAAGCACTGTGCCCTGTCCTTTACCTAGTCTAACACTCAGTTCCTATCCAGTGTTACCATTTCCAACTGTTATTGTCATACTGGTCCCTTCTCTATCTTACCTACCCTCCACCACACACACACTTGTGGTGGATTCCAACCACTGACCAGTCCTCCTAGCTCCTGTTTTCCCTGGCCTTGGATATTAGTCTTCTACTACATATTTGGGGAGATAAGGAGAGAGAAACAGAGACAGAGATGGAGACACAGAGAGGAGAAAAGAACCTGCCACAGAGGAGGCGGGGGGTGGGGAGTGACAGGAGGGAACCTGGGGACACTGGTGCTGGGAAATCAACACTGGTGGAGGGATGGGTCTTGGAAGACTAGGACTGAAATCCAATCATGAGCAGCTTTGTATCTCACAAGTTCAATAACAAAATACCATAAATAAATAAAAATAGACTACAAAAATGACATTGAGAATTTCAAATAAAAGCAGTTAGAATTGAAAAAAAGTGATAATATTGGGTGAAAATATGCCTGACAGACAATTCCTAGGAAAGTACAACTAAGTAAGAAGAATGAATCTGTATCAGATTATGTATGTTTTTAAAAACTGAAAATAACTTCCCACATGACAACTCTGGTCCCAGAAGGCCTTGAGAATTCTAGGATGACCAGGGGAACACAGCCACGTGCAGCCGTGGAGACAGCTCTGTGTGGAGCAGACGGCGATGGCCGCGCAGAGCCCAGGAGCTGCGTGCATCAAACTCGATGAGACATTCTCAGAGCATGTGGGAGGGACAGCGACTCACTAGCAGCATAAACAAACCCTAGGGGTGTCAGTGTTCCAGGCCTACACAGGAAAGAGGACCACGGGGCAGAGGTCGGCTGGCTGTTGTGGGAGGGCCGGCATGTCTGCTCTGGTCTGCCTGTGAGTCAGACGGCGTCCCCACAGGAGCTGTAAAGCTGGGGTGCAGGCGGAGAGATTCCCCACGAGAGCAAAGAGCAGAGTCCTCTGGGGAGATGGGTCTGTGCACTGACGCTGAACTCTGGCCCCGGTCAGCAACAAGGGCAGTGAAAGAGGCTGCGGGGCAGGCTGGGTTGTCACATGGACGCACGTCACACTTCAGGGCCACCACCTCAGTCCTGCCATCACACCTCAGCACGGAGACACACCCTGGACGACAGGAAGCGCTTGCTGGGCGAGGCCCCGGTGACTCCCACTCCTGGTTCCTATTGCACCACTCTTAGGCTGGGTCTAAGGAACCACCTCTCCGTGCTCTATGCTGCATAAGAAACCGCTACTTCCTTCCCGTGGGGTTTCCTATGACAGTGCGTGCAGGAAGACTTTGAGGACTCGTTTCTGACCATCATTACTGAGCCAGTGGGGCAGATCACTCCATCCACAAACTGCAGGGAGGGCGTGGGGCAGTGCGAGGGGGAACCTCCCTCCATCCCATCTCATCCATCCATCAGTCTGTCTGTCTGTCCATTGGCAAGTTCTCAGCAATTGCAGGCTGAGGGCGGGCAACAACAGAGCAAAGCTGAGATGCTCGAAAAGAATCCGTGTGTGTCCATCTTCCTGGTAACCAAGCTGCTCCTGAGCGGCTGATCACGTGATTTCCACGCTGCTGGGGATGAGTGAGGATCATTCAACATGTAGCTTTAAACCAGCAGAGACTTAGCAGCTCAGATCACTGGGAACCAGCATCTCCCTGTTTCTTCTTTATTTGCCTTTAACGAGGTGTAGGGTTAGAAACAGGAGCAAAAACACCAACACCGAATGACCATTTTTAAGCACTTAATGTGACAGAGCAACCCGCATTTTTCAAAGCAACTCTGGGTTGGAGGCTCCGACTTACTCCTCTGAGAATGGCCACCAGCAGCAAAAGTTGAGCTGGGCAAGAAGGAAAGCATCACATAAGGACACTGCCAGTTTTTTCAGCTCTGTTCCTCATGCAAACGCACTCACTGTGCTGCTGACACAGGCCTCCTGGGGGGCGTTTGATCTGAATGGTTTCACTGATCCACAAGTGGCTGAGTGTGAATGCCGGTCCTTTCTCCATCAGCGACTTTGTGTGAAATTCAGTCCTTTGCTTGTCAGCAACTGTGTGCGAGTGCTGTTTGCTCCATCATGGGCTGTGTGTGAATACTGGATGTTGGTCCCGTCAGCGTCTGTGTGTGAACGACCAGTCCTTTCTCCATCACTGTGTGTGAATTTGGCTCTGCCAGCAAAGAGACCAGCATGTGAGGCCCAAGGCTGAGGATGGCAGAGCTCCTGCGCACACTGGGGGGGTCTGAAGGTGACACAGGCTTCCGCTGAACAGAGGCTTCTGGGCTGGACCAGCCTCTCTTCTCGCCGGGGAGACTCCTGTTGGTTCTCACCAACCCCTAAGGGTTCAGGGCCGGGCATAAGTTTACACCAGAAGGACAGCTCTCCCCTCGGGCAGTGTCTGCCAGGCACGTCTACGTTGATGGGCGCAGAGAGCGGTGTAATCTGCCACATGTTTGCCAAGGCTGCCTATGTTTGAGCCTGGGCTTGGTGAAGCAGCCTCCTCCTGAACAATTCACAAATCTCCCTGCAAAGACTCACGGCCAAACAGCAGGCGCTCCACAAAGGCCACACCTGGTGCTTCTGCTCCGTCCAGATTCATGCAGCTGATGAGGCCGAGGTAAGAAAACATGGGCTTGGGTTCTCATTCAGAGGGTGTGGTCTGCTTACGAAGTGCGCATGAAGCACTCAAGAAAAACACCCCAAGAAGCACCATGTGGCCCAGACACGGGCCCCACAGGCCTGCCTGACTCATCAGATCATCCCTGCTCGTGTTCAGGGAGAACTGGTCATTTCCACCACTTACCTGAAAAGGCAGAGAATGATGCTTCCGGTTGTCAGGGAGATCAGAGAGAGGCTATAGCCAAGGGTGTAGATAGCTTTCACCAGGACGTAGAATGAGATCTGCAGAGAGGAAGTGAGTGTCTGAGTTAGTGGTGGCAGCAACTACCAAGAGCTTGTGCTGTGATCCAATGCCAGAATGCAGAATGGGGCCCCCAACACCCACAGTCCTGTGTCACTGTGTCTCACACATGGTTTTCTGACAGCAGCTCTGTGCACAGGGGCCAGAAATGGCCACCATCAGGGAAAGCCCAGGACACAGAGGTGAGTGGCGGGAGGGAGGAGGGAAGAAAGAAGGAGCAGAGGGAGAAAGGAGGGGATGAAGCGGGGGAGACAGGCTGAGTCACTTCCACGGCAACCCTGAGTGTGTCCCAAGCAATGTGGCCACACTCAGCCCCATGGGGCGTGCTGGGATGCTCTTCTCAGTACACAACTGAGTGTCAAAGCCCCGCGTGATTCTCTCTCTCTCTCTCTCTCTCTCTCTCACACACACACACACACACACACACAGAGGGGACACTGAATCCAGAAGGAGAGACTAACTGCACTATCTTCACATTTTAATGTTTTCAACATTCCTTGATACAATTTAATTTTGAGGGAACAAGGTATACAGGACAGATCATATCTGTGCCTAGTTAGGGCAACATCTGTTACCAAGGCACACACATCACCAAAGTGGCAATATCCCTTCACCACTGCCAAGGTGTTCTTGTGGCCCTGCTCCCCTCACCCCCACTCCCCACTCCCCCTTGGTAAGTTCAGCCCTATGGTCAGGTGGTTCCGCACAGCTAGAGTCAGGTAAGGCATGTGTAAGAGCTCTGTCATGACAGGACATGGGCACCAGCGAAGGTCCTGCACACCTCAGCTCTACCACAGAGTCAGTGCCCGCCAGGTCACACCAGAACCAACCTGGATCACCCCTGACTCCCAGCCAGTGCCCATCACGGGGTACCTGAACCAGCCAGGTCACCTGACTCCTACCGCCAGTGAGCTGGCAGGGGTGGGGAGGAGGGGTGGCTGTGCAGACCCGGAGGGCTGGCAGGAGCTGCTCCTGCAGAGATGGCCAGGAGTGTGTGCGTGTGCGTGTGAGTGTGTGCGGTGTTGGCAGGTGGGGAGCTGCGCAGGGCAAGGCTGGGGGATGGTATAGGCAGAGGCCTTCTGGGCTCCAGGATCCTGCAACTTTCCGTTCTGAAAACCACCTCCTGGTTTCCTTTTGCATTTGAATGCAAAATTCCAACCCTCTTCTAACGGGAAGTTCTAAGGTTGTTCAGGCCCCAAGCCCCAGTGGACGACTTCTAGGGGGCACATCCTCCTCCTTCAGGTGCGGGAGAGGTGAAGGACGGGCCCAGGAGCAGATTCGTCTTCTCTTAATAAGAGAATGACACTACCAGAGGCGTCTGTACAGGAAGGGTGACACGTCTCCGCTGAGCATCTGCACGCTGCAGTCACGAAACCCTGAACATCTGGGACAGGCCCCGGGTGGAGGGATGAGGCCTGTTCCTCACATCATCCTGGAGCCTCTGCGGCAGGACCTGTTCCCAACCTCCTCCAGGTGAGACATTCCCTAGCAGCCACGTGGGGGACCAGTCGGAGTATGCAGCCACGCGGGGGGTGACCGTGTAAGACTCTGCAGTGTGAGACTGACTCACTTGCAAGGGCAGTGGAACATCTGCCCACGTTAACCCGGGAGAAGCTGAGCAGCCAGCACACTGTCCGGTGCTCACACTGTGAGGCATGGCCCTGAGCCCAGCTCTGCACCAGGCCTGGTCTTCAGCTCAAGTCCAGTTGCCAGGTGGTGGCGTCCTGGCAGGGCTATAACCTATCCCCTGTGGAGTGGGCACTCACCGGAGGCCTCTTCCCAGCAGCTGCCCCACACAGGTCTGCCTGGAGTGCTTCCAAGGGCAGACGGTGGGCCAGGCCTGTGCCTGCCATCCTGGGGGGGGGGGGGGGGCAGGACAGCCATGCTCGGAGAGGCAGCAGTGGTGGTGATGCCTTGCTCTGACTCTAACGGCTGCCATGGTTGTGCGACCCAGAAAAGCAGAGCCTCTGTCTGAAATGTTCGCCACAGCGGGAGTGGCATTAATGGGAGTCTAATCAGGGCAGCCGGGAGCATGTGGCAGCTCCCGCAATCCCTAAGAGACTCGCTGTGCCTTGAGCCTGCTCTGTGTAGAGGGCGGCAGGACTGGAGCACCATGCACAGGGCCAGTGAACTCTGTGCTGCTCCTGGTTCTCACCGGAGCCTGGGCCAGGTCAGACCCACATGGTGACACCATGGTGACCTGGGTCCATCCCTGGGAGAGAACTGGAGAGACCCAGCTTGGCCTTGGCTTGGCTCAGCTAGCGGAACAGGAGCTCAGCCTCTGGTGCTCACCTGTGGGCCCGTTTGCACACGTGCCGAGACACGGCTGTGCATGTGTGATCCCAATTCTCACATGTCTCCACAGTGGAGCCTCTACCACTTCCCTTGGCCACCCTCAGGCCACTGGCAGTGCAGGACAAGGACACCTACTGGACACTGGCTTCTGCAGCTGGCCCGGAGCAGTGTCCGAGGCTCGGCAGCAGGCCCCAGGCGTGGCATCGAGGCCCCAGGTGACTTGCGCAGTAGCCTAGCTCTGGTGTGAAAGCACCCACTCTAGCCTGAGCTAGAGAACTTTCCGGAGAACTGTGCTCCCAGCTCCCGCTGATTTTCCAGACGTGTGCCAGCACCAGAGTTCCTGAGCCACATTCAGGACAAGCTCAGTCACAGATGGCAAAGCTGCTGGGGAATCAAATCTGCTTCTTGCCAATTACTGGCCAAATACCTTTCAAGACACTCCTACGAAACCGGACTCTTAGTGAACCGTCAGGGGACCAGAGCTGCCACCACACACGGCTTCCTCCCTCCCGCAGCATCAGCATGGAAGGTTGGGCACGTTCCCCCAACACGACACGCAGCCTGGCCCAGTGCGACAGACTCAGCACAGCACCCTGCGTGCAGAGCCGGACAGGGGCCCCTCACCCTCACACATTCTCTTCTCTCGGCAGGTCACTTCCACTGTGTAGGTGCTTGCTAGCTGCTGCTCCTTCCTAACAAGGGAAACTTGAAGAAAGGATGAGAAAGGGAAGACGGGGTAGGCCAGACCCCCGCGGATGCACAGACAGGAGACTCCTGCAGGCTCAGCCACAGAGCAGACCAGAGATGCAGTGCGGGACTCAAGGACCCCAGCCAGCACAGGAGGGAGACCAGGCCACGGCAGAGAGGGACAGACATGCAGAGACGCATCCTGGGTTTCTGGCCACGGATCAGAGCCGCACATGAAGCAAGGATGGTCTCTCTGACCAATGATGTCAGAACTGGACACCACAGGCAGCAGAGACAGTCTGGACCAAGCCCTCAGCACTAGCACGAACCTGACCCCCAAGTGGACGACTGACGCCGAATGCAGAACCGTGAACCCTCCAGAAAGTCACCTGGCAGGAAGCAGAGTGCTCTGGCCACGGAGAGGCCTCTTCACACAGCTCCGAAGGCACTGTTCACGAAATGAGGCTGCTGAGCTGGACCCAGTGGGACACGGTGCCCTGAGAGAGGCGGTGCCAGAAGAACGGGCTGACAGACCAGCCCAGGAGAAGGTAGCGGCACATCTGACGAAGGCCTGACCCGCACTGGGCACCCTGGGAACCAGCAGCGAGGACAGGAGCTCGAAGAAACTTGGGCCAAGGCCTCGACACACACCCACCACAGAGCAGCCCCAGGTGGACACTCCACCCTCTCCCACTGGACGGAAGCACATGAGAACAACCTGCATCCCCCCTGCTCTTCTGCTGTACGCTGACACTGGACACAGCAGGGCCGGTCACGGGCCCACCGCAGGCACCCATCGTGCTCCTGCACACCTCCCAAACCAGCCGAAGACACACACCCCTGTCTGGGGTCAGCACAGACTGACCACCGGTCAGCTCACCGGTCAGCAGCAGCTTACCCAGACTGCCCCAGACTCGGAATCAGCGGGACAGCCTTGGGCAGGGGAACGGGAGAATTAATCGTGCCTGTCCGAGACAGAAGAGTCTGTTGTGGGAAACGAGCTCCCACGCCATGCAGAGCCACGGAGCCACGGAGCCACGGGGTGCAGAGGGACTGGGAGAAGCCAGTCTGGAAATGATGCCACCCAGGACTTCTGGCAAATGTGGGCGATGAAGTTGTGAGGGACTGAGGGGCTACGCAGAGCACAGCAGGGCAGGGCCCTCCCCTGACCAATGCTGCACAGTGGATGTGTGGGGCTGCATGTTTCTCAGCTCGGGGGAAGCATCCGTGGGCGACTTCTGATTCTGACTCCCTGCACTGTGTCAATGCTGTATTTCTTAAGGTATAGCATTTCACCCAGTCCTCCTGTGGCGACAAGTTGCTGCACAGTGAGAGTATAGCCATGGAGGCCTGGTGAGGTGGGTAAGGGCAGCTGCAGGAAGTCCTCACATCCTCCTTGATTTCCCTGCGAGCACAGAACTGCTGTACTGGTGAGCGCCGCCTGGAGGAGGAAGGTGTGTGATTCCCAGCTCGCACGCTCGCTTCACCTGCAGGGGGCGCTCTGCGGGCTGGCAGTGGCCGAGGAGGAGCTCAGCCTGCCCCGAGGAGCTCAGCCTGCCCCGAGCAGCTGGAGTACGTGGGAGAAGCACAAGCACATGGTTCCGGGGGCTCGGGGGTACTTCCCAGTTTTCCCGGGCTGCACATGCAGCCCCCAGCACAGACCCTGCTCCTGCCGTTCACCCAGGAGCAGGGCTTGTTCCCGCCCCGAACATGGTGTGTCCTATCCTGTGGGTGCGATTTCACGTAGAGTCTCCTGCTACATGCCAGAGCTTAGAGCAATGAGTCTGCAAAGCGAACATCAGCTGCATAACTGATTCCTTTGGCATTTCCTAGATGCGCAATGAGAAATGACTCCACCGATGGAGCTGAAAGGCCCCCTGCCTTCTGGGGGTCAGCACAGACTGACCACCTGCAGCCGCACCCAATGTGCACTCCCATGGGCTTGAACGGCTTCCTGTGTGGGATATCACAGCTGTGGCTACGGCAAGAGAGATCCCCG